AGAAGAAGAAGAAGAAGAAGAAGAAGAAGAAGAAGAAGAAGAAGAAGAAGAAAGGTGAGGGACTGTTGTTGTCGCTGTAAAAAAGGCACTTGGAGTTAACGGGACCAGAATTGAAGGGCTCTCAGCTGACAAAAACTTCAGTACGATTTCATTTAAAAGGCTTGGATGTTAAGAGGTGACATACTCGGGAGTTCCCGGAAGGAGACACCGAAATAAACCACCGAGAAACAGAACAGATGAAAAAGAAAGAAGGAAATCTTTACAACCAAATTGTGTGTGTGTGTTGTTGTTTTTTTTTTAAAAAAGCAAACCCAAAACAAAACCTAACCAACACAAAAAACCTAAGCAAAGTGAGAGCACAAAGCAGCGATGCATAGCTTTCCTTTGAGATAATGCATACCTCGAGACACTAAGTGCTAAGCTAATTTCGCAATAATAACTTCACAGGTGCATTATCGTGATAAAATGGATTCAAGCAATGTGACAAGAGTTTCATCTGTTCCCAGAATCTGAGGGAGAACTGAGGTGATCAGCAGAACCTTAGCAACATCATTGTGGTTTGTCAGTGTCCGAGACCCAGAGTGACGTCCGGACACTACGTTCAGCCATCTCCCTGGAGGCGAGGCATCCGGGAACATCATCCTTCATTCTGTCATAACTTTGATTCTTTTCTGACATTTACACAGTGAACCGTGACGCAGCGAGAGTCTGCTCCCACGGACGCCGCTGTTCAATGTTTTCCCCGAACAGGCAAACTGCTTCCGGAAGAAAGGATTTTTGGCAACTGCATTATATTCCACGGCCGGGTGGCTCTGTGATCGCTCATTTAATGTTAAACGCCATCAGGGGTCTCTCCTCCCGTTTCTGCCAGGGGCTCTTCTTGTCTTCTCCCTGGTCCTCCTCATCTTCCTCTTCGTCGTCCTCCTGAGCAGATCTTCTCTGTTCGGGGCTGGCGAGCGGCTCCGGGGGCACGTCCGAAGTTCGTTTGGTCGTCTCCTCCTGCAGGCTGGGCAGCTGGCCGCCGCTCCTCCGGCCGGAGCTATCCAGCAAGCACCGCAGGGCGCTGTCCTCGGGGGTGCACACGGTGGTGCCGCCCTCGCTGCCGCTTTGGTCCATGTCGTCCAGGTACACGAGCTGCGTGTAGGAGGTGCTGTCTGCCGCCCTCGGCTCTTTCTGCGGATGCTCCTGGACAGCCGGGTGGCTCTGCGCAAGGGACAAGGGGTCTCCTCTTCCCTTCCGGGCAGATTTTGGTTCATTCATATCCACACCAGAATCCAAGCTGGCATCGTTACTTCCATTCCTCCCGGCTCTTTGGAGATCAATGTACGAATGTCTAACGTGCGCGTTGGACCTGCCGTCCAGGGAGACGAACCACGCCCGGGGATGTGGGAGCGGCTTCCCACCCCCAAGTTCCATCAGCGCCTTTTCGGTCAGGAGCTGGACCTCGCTGTTCATCTGAGCCAAGGCTGCATCGTTCAGGGATGCCGGGATGGAGAGAGACTCTGACATGGACGCACCTTGTGGCGTCCACTCCCGGGTGCCCGCGTCCTGCAAGTGCTGCTGGGAGGTTGCCTGGCACGACAGGGGCTGCGCTTGGATCTGGGAGGAGGGGTGTGGGAAGATCCCTGCATGGGGACTGGAGAGCTCCGCCTGCAGTCTTCCGATCTCCAGCTGCTGGTCGGCTGGAACGACCAGGGGCTGGCCCACGTAGGAATGGTCCCCCGGGAGTTTCATATAATGAGCGGGGATGACCAAGGCAGGTAATACCTTTCTGTAAACGCTGTCATTGACCTGGTCCACGGAACTACAGCAGATCAACTGGCCGGGCCGCGGAAAGGATGTGGGTCTCTCCAGGTGGTCTACTGACCGCGACATCATATACTCCGTGGGCCGGCGGTCTAGCAGCTGGTCCTTTTCGGAAGATGAGGGCGCGGGGTACATGTGTTCCTGAATGGTGAGCTTGCTTCCTGTGGGGATATGGTTCACAGAGGCCTGACCGTCTCTGTCTTGCTTTTCAAACAAAGGCTGGGACAGCATGGCATTGCAGCTCCTCCTATACTCGCTGTTGCCCGGGGACTCACAGCCTTCTCTTTCCAGAGGTTTCCTGGACTTTAAGGGGAAAATCTCCACAGACTTGTGATACTCTTTTCCCAACGTCCCACTTGGTGTCAGGTTATCAAAGGAGATTTGGCTTTTATGCTCTTCTTTGTGAGAGAGAAGTTCCTCCCGAGAGCTGAATTCCTGCGAGGTACTGTAGGAGAGCTTTAGCATGGGGGTGTGCATGTCCACTTCTCCGCTGGAAGACATCATTTCTAAATGGACTCCGCTCATCAGCTCCTTGGGCCCTGGGGCGTCCGGGCGGCCGTGACTGGTGACAGAGAGGGGGCCAGGGAATTCTGACTCCCGACGAGAAAAGAGCAAGTTGATGTGAGACATGGAAGTTGACTGATCCCGTTTGGAACTCTCCAGGGCTGCCGGGAGTTGCAGTTTTCTATGGTGCTGACGAGGTTTCAAGCATTTCCGCCTATGATCAAAGATAAAATCCAAACCCAGAGGTTAAAGATTCTCGTAGCAGTGAGGTTCCCCGCGAAATCCCAATTCTCCATTTCCACAGGAAGAAACAAGACAACTAACCAGCAGCCAGAAGCCTTCTCACCCCACACCCTCAGCCTTATTTTGATTCAGAACAGCACAATCTGCAGATTTCACCTGCAGGCTTTTATACGTTCAACCAAGTTATTCATTCAAGAGAAGTCCCCCAAGAGTCGACAACAAACATTCTCACAAAATGGAATAGCCAAGGCATCAAAATAAGAATTTTAGTTCTGCTTTGTCCTTGAGAATATCATCTCTTAATCAGGGGTTAGGAATATTCTGAACGAATCATGACAACTGTCAAACTTAAAAAAAATAAAATAAAATAAAACAACTCCCCTTCTGAGCAAACTTATAAACAGCATGCCCCCCACACCATGTTCATTTGTTCACAACTTTAAGGACAAATGTTCAGTTCTTCAGTATTTTTTCATGAGGAAAAAAAAAAAAAGGACCTTGATTAAGAAAAAGAAAAAAAAAAAGACCTCAAAATCAATGCTTGCCCAAGAAATTCCAAATTAAAAAAGATATTGCCAAAAAGGTAAAAACTTTACCTGCAATAATATAAAAGGAGACACAGCAGAACCAAAAGTATGAAAGCCATTCCTCCTAAAATGGCCAAAAGAAACACCGTGTGATACGTGGTTATGTCCTGTGTGACAACGGGACCTAGAAGGTCAGAAAAGGGCATTTTAGACTGGAGAACACCTTGAAAGGAGAAGAAGGACACACGGAACCGGGAGCCTATGTTTTCCTTACTCTTCCTGGCTGGGGCGTGCAGCAGGGGCCAGATGCAAACACCCTTAAATGATGCGCTTACAGATCACCAGGATTTCACTCAATGGAAAGGGATTACCACCACTGTCCCTGGAGCAGCTGTGGCCGGGAGTGGTCTGTATAGTCAAATGCTAAATGCAGGGTCAAGGGTCCCTCCTTAGCCCGGAAGACAGCCGCATTCGGTAGCAGGCTCAGCATTCTAAAGACGTGATCTTTCAGTGAAAGCAAAAGGATGCATGATGACATAATGAGTGGGACGCTTAGACTCAGAGAGATGGCCTATCTGGGGATCTCGTACTGCGGGAGGGGAAAAAAAAATCACAAGATTTTATTCTCACTTTCCCTGGACAATTATTACTGTGCAGAGGGCCCTTTGCCTCAATGAATCAATTGAAAGATAGGAAATGAATCAGCTATGACTTAAAAAAAAAAAAAAAATCCACAGCTGGTTATGGGTTGTCAAGCGTTTCTAAAATGCCTTCCGTTTTTTAAAAAATAAAATCTTCCTCTCCGGTGCCTTTTCAAAATGGCTAACCTGATGCTGGCCACAGAACTCTTCAGAACTTACAGATAAGGTCCCAGAGATAAACATATTTTCTTCTTAATTTACATTGTAAAGAATCCCAAGAGGGAGTTTAACTTACTCTTTATTGTTCAATAGTAGTAAGAATCCATCTTAATGGCACTGATGACAGATTGAAAGCGACAATGAAAACCTCCCCAAATTATAATATTGGGGGACACACTGGTGTCCAGGCATCCCAGCAGTGAGCCAATAGATGGGAAGGAAGGAATGTGGTTTTTCATTATGTCCGACTGGCATGGTTATAATCACTATGCACCAGGAACACCCATTTACTTATTGATTCTTGATATTTTAAGGGATAGATTTCTTCAAAAAATCTTTGCAAGGAGACCCCTTAAGAGCTAGATAAACTCAAGGAGGTGTACTAGTTTTTGAAAATAGTGACATTACTTAAGTTCAAAAGGTATCACCATTCTCTCCCAAACATAATTCACTTCAATGGGGTGAGTGGAGTTATTATGTACAAAAGTTGGAAAAATAATTGACAACTATACGCTGCTTTAATCATTCAGAGAAACAATTTTTTACCCAGAGACGACCCCCAGAGACATGGGTGATGCCTTTGGCGGGAGCCACCAAGAAAGCCAGGGGACACATAAAAATCAGTTCCAAGGAACTCAAGCTCAATCCTTTAAGTACTTAAAATGTTATTATCTTAACTTCTGCCAATGGAAATCTCTAGAAAATTCACAGCCGTACTTAAATTTTATAGATTTTTGTCTCTTCCTTCACTGCTTGGAAAGGTGGTGGACCTACAGCAAGAAATTCTTTCTGCCCTTTTTACAGAATATCTATTATTCTGTGGCGTGATGGGCAAACTGAGAGCCACGGTGGTTGGAAATCTATCTCAAATGAAAGTTAACTGTAATGCATGGGCTTTGTAGCCTCTGCTTGGGGACTTAAGGTATTTATTTTCTTTCCTTCCTTCCTCTTAGTCATATTCTAGATATTTCAGATTTGGAGACTGGGGCATTTCTGTACCTGGCTCACACCTCTAATGCTAAAAGAACATCACAAAGGGAAACACAGACTCTCAAGACACAGATGTGAAATGTACATTTTCTCAGTATGGGAACAGAAAGTGAACGGGACCGAAGTCTCAACACCTCCAAGTTAGTTACTTTGGGAGTCTGAGTGTTCATTCCAGTGATAATTCCACTGCTAAAATATTTTGGACTCCTTCATGACGAGAGACAGCTTTTAATCATAGCACATTTTGACCTAGCTCAATTACCTACTTTATTCACCAGATTTGGCTGTGCATGACTCTTAGATATGTCTAAGAAAAATCAAAGGGACCCTCTGAGCATAAACATCTGCCACCAATGAAATGTTTCACTAAGGAAGGCAGTCTAAGTGATACAGATTCTAAAGGCATTTTGAGGAACAGAAGCCATCATTGGAAAGAATTCTCTGAAGATGATTATTTTAGGAAACAATTCTGGAATATTCATTGGGATAACTTAGGGCATATAGGTAAAAGAAATTTTTTTTAGTCACACTTTAAAAAATATGAATTAATTCGCATATGCTAAATAGAGATGACTATTGTTCTAGACACAAAGCAACTGGTCTGTTTTTAAGCCTTTAGGAAATGCCAAATCAAGCTTTTTGCCCCAAGAAGGCTCCAATGGGGATTGTCTGCTAGCGGCTCTGAGGAGTGCCCTTCCCCCATATTTCTCTTACTACAGGCCACAGCTGTTTCTGGAATTAGGGAGGAGGTCTGAACTGCCTCTATGGGCTTTAGATTAGGAATTCCCTATGGCAGCTGTCTGAGAAAAACAGAGACAAGAGACAGGAGTATGTTCTGTGTATTATTCTTATCCTAGATGGGAGAGTCACAACCAGAACTCCCCCAACCCCCACAAAATACCTTCGTTTCGTCATTTGATTTTCAGACTTTCAACCGTTTTTTAAAAGTCATCTCTCCACCCAATGTAGGGCTCGAACTCATGATCCTGAGATCAAGAGTCACAGGCTCCACTGACTGAGCCAACCAGGCGCCCTTCTCCATCGTTTCTGAGTAAGATGTGATCTCCCTGCTAAAGTAATTTTCAAAAGCATACTTAGCCTGAACCCTCAAAGAAATCACTGCCCACCATCGCGGGTGTTGGCTTCGTGTTACCTGGGTTGGGAGGAGACATGGCCGCCACCCAGTACCCCAACTGAGGGGCAATGTACGTCCACGTCCGCTGGCTACCTTCCTGGTGCACAAGGCCTAGACCGCTCTTCAGCCACGTTCCTGTGGGATGCAGAAAAAACTTCAGCTATACGCATGCTAAACTCCTATTTCAGGCTTACACATATCACACCAGTCACCTTAAATGTCATGTTTGTGACCCATCATGTAGCCAACATGGTCCAAACGTCATGTAGGGATGGCATAAGCTTTCCGTGGATTCTTTTCAGCTTCTTTCAGGGAAGATGGATACTTTAGTTTTTCCTTGCCTTTCTGATTAAATATTACTTTCAACCACTTTCTCAAACATCTTTGTTTTCAAACACAGATAATTCTACCAGAAAGCTTCGGAGGTTAGTAGAATAAAGGTTGCAAGACAAGGGTTGGTGGGAGTGGAAAAAAAGGGGCGGGGAATCCAGTATTGTTTATACTCTTCATTCTCAAGAAAATAAGCAAATTTCCTGTCCAAAATTACACACTGATTACATCGGAATTACTTATGGAAGTTTAAAAAAATAGAGAGTTCTTGGTCTCATTTTTGCAAATTCTAACCCAGTAAACCTGATTTAGACGTGCGTATTTTATTTTATTTTTTTTAAAGATTTATTTATTTATTTATTTTAAGAGACAGAGAGTGTATATATGCGGGGGTGGGGGGAAAGAGGGAGAGAACCCCAAGCAGACTCCCCGCCGTGTGTGGAGCCCAATGCAGGACTCGATCTCACCACCCTGAGATCATGACCTGAGCCAAAACCAAGGGTCGGACACTCAACCAACTGAGCCACCCAGGCACCCCGTAGGTTGGTATTTTAAAAAGCTTCCAGTTGATTCTGGTGCTGGGAAACACTGGATATGTCCACATCTGTGCTTTCAGTTATTAATTAGTATTTAACATTAATGAGCACCTACTGTGTACAGGCTGGTCACAGCAGACGTATTTTATATGCATTGTCTATAATCTCACAGCAACTCTATAGAATAAGACTTACTTTCCCTTTTTGGATGAGGACACTGGAGACTGGGGAGAGGTATAGACCTCTTCTAAGACCCTCTGGGGTACAGAGCAGAGCAGAAGCTGACGCATGTCTGTCTGTCCATCCTCAGGGCCAGGGCTAGTTCTTCTGATCTACCCTGCTGCATTTCCTATAAACCTTCCCAGCATTTGGTGACTTTTGCACTTTTTAATTTTTCGAGACACAGACCCAACGCCCAAGGTCGTTGGGCTGTAACTCACTGGTAGAGAACCTTGCTTTGAGGCCCATGATGGTGGCGGGCAGCAGAAGGCAAGGGAGAGTACTGGCCAGGCCCTCCAGCCCTCCCCACACACCCACCCCAGCCTACCGATGTGGAGGCCTCACTTAGCTGGGCTCCTGCCCTGCCTCAATGCCCAGGGTGCTCCACCATTGAGCCTGCTCCAATAATGTCCCACTACCTGAAATGGCCATGTGTGCAACTGTGTCCCCTCGAGGCCTAAATGCACCAAATGTGCACCAACCATTCTCCCCTCCAGTCCTTGCCTTTCCTATGCACACACATCCCTGAGGTGGCAACAGGGATTGTTCTCCCCGGAAGAAAGAAACAATACTTGGTGCTGCTTCTAGGTCCTGTCAGTTGCCATAGCAACATTCAAATGCAGTGGGTGGAAAGGTACCCCTGGCAAAGCCCCCAATCTTGCTCACCAACTCCTCTGCTCAGACAGCAGTTAAACAAAGGAGGAAAGTGGGAGAGGCTAGGCGTCAGCAAGCGCCATGCATCGTCGGACCTTCCCATGCAACAGGTTGAGTCGTGGCGGGAGAGGATTTCTATTCACGTTAGACAAAAATACAAACTAGGAAGTTTCTCAAATGAGTAGGAGAACAAGGATGCCCAACTCAGATTCATTTGCTGAGGAACACCAACCCAGAGATGATTTAGCTACTCAGAGCATCACGTAGTTCTATGGAGTGTTAAGAAACAAAACCACAGCCCACAATGGCATCACTCAAGTTAAGGCCCCAAGTCCGTAAACCAAGACTTAGTACCTAACCTAACTGCAGTTTCAACGCTGCAGGTATGTAACCTTTAACCAGGCAACACAGAATTTCCTGGTAAATACTAGGGAATTTCCTGATAGACCCCTTCCACTCCCCTTAGGATGGAAACCTTGCCTCAACAGTGAATTCCTTGCAAATAAAGTCCTTCCTTCTTTTATTTATGCCCTCTCTCTGCCTTTAAAAACCTTTCTCTTGTTTAGCTCAGCGGAGCTCCTCCCCTCTACTTGCCACATGGGATATTGCCCAATTCATGAATCATTTAATAAAGCCAATTAGATCTTCAAATTTACTCCAATGAATTTTGTTTTTTAACAAGTGCTCCTGAGGAAATGGAAACGCGGGACCTTTGACACCTGCAGCTCAAGGTTTTCCATGTTTGGGAAGAAAGCTTCCCTGAAGGCAGGGAGCTGACTGTTGGCGACCGTTTCCAGTTTTCCACTTGGGGATCCCATGCTGTTCGGTGACCGACTTCCACACCCCACCCCTCTCCCCCTGGTGCTCTCTGACACACAGGATCTCCACCTCGGCCAGGAGGTGGCGTGCACTCTTTGGTTTGCAGTTTTCCCCAGGCTGGATTCTTGAGTCAAGGCTCTGCATACGGAGTGGATATCAGGTGAGGCTGAAGGGACCCAGACAGAAAGATCTGAAGCTCACAGGTCGCAACTGCTGCTCATTCAAACCTAACTTGACTGCTAAGTTGCCTCTGCCTTCTACAACATAAGCACATCAACTGGAAAAACACTTCTAAAATATCTCCCAGCTAACCTGGGGGCAAGCCTGGTGAATGGAGCGCCGCCCCCCCCAACTCCCCAGCTAACAAGTTCCCCAGTCCGGTCTGGAGGGCCCCAGCTGGGCGGTGATGCTGGCAGGAGCCAGAAAGGCCAGTGACTGGAGAACACGCCACTGCTTTGCACACCTGTTCTGGAAGCACAGGGAAGGCAGAGAAAGCTTCTAGATGATGTAAGTTTTGAAGAACCGGCAGCACTGTCAGCTGGGGGTGGGGGTGGGGTAGGGAGGACACCAAGAGGAAGAGGAGAAGGAAGCAGTGTGCAGGAAGGCAAGGAAAGTGTAGCTTGGAAGATGCCCAGGGATGGGATGGAGGCAGGGTGGGGCAGGAGGGACAGGCTGGAAAGGAGTTTACTGTCTGCGTGGGGAAGAGGCTGGGAAGGGCTTCCAATGCCATTAAAAATGGTATGGAGGTTCCTCAAAAAGTTAAAGATAGAACTACTCTATGATCCAGTAATTGCACTACTGGGTATTTACCCCCAAAATAGGAAAACACTAATTCAAAGGGATACATGCACCCCTGTTTATTGCAGCATTATTTACAATAGCCAAATCATGGAAACAGCCCAAATGTCCATCGATAGATGAATGGATAAAGCAGATGTGGTGTACATACAACCGAGTATCACTCAGCCACAAGAAGAATGAAATCTTGCCATTTACAACAACATGAATGGAGCTAGAGAGTATGATGCTAAGCGAAATAGGTCAGTCAGAGAAAGACACATTCCATATGATTTCACTCCTATGTGGAATTTAAGAAACAAAACACATGAGCAAAGAAGAAAAAAAGAAGAGAGACACAAACCAAGAAAGAGACTCTTAACTATAGAGAACACACTGCTGGTCACTGGGGGGGGGGCATGGGGAGAGGGGTGAGACAGGTGAGGGGAATGAAGAACACACTTCTCACAATGACCACCGAGTGTTGTATGTAAGTGCTGAATCACTATATTGTACACCTGAAACTAAGATAACAAACGGGGGGCCACTGGGCCCCGTAGGTGGAGGCAGGGGGTGCTCAGAGCTCTTCTCCCCACCTGCCCCTCTAGCACCCCGCCCCCGCCAGACCCGGCGCTCCTCAAACATCAGCTCACACAGTGTACATCTGACTTAAGTCCGCGGCTTTGCCACCGTTGCTGCTCTAATCTCCCATCGTTTTTCTCCCTTCCAGAAACCTCCCCATCTTTCAAGATGCCAGTCGCATCACGTGCTTAGCTTGAGTGCCTCCAGAACTCAAGGATCTTCCCACGTCTCAGCACTCCTGGGGCGTGTGTCAATGCATCACTTTCCCAAAATACACGTTGCTTCCATTGCTAACCCCTTGGCCCACGTCTTGCCTCCTCTCTCCAACTGCAGGCTCCGTGAGTTGGGGCCCGGGTCCAATGTTCCTTTGTCTTCTTCCCGGCACCAAGAAATATCCTTGGCGTAGGAGCTCAATAGTACTCAAGAATGAGAGAAGGCTCGATGTGCACCCCAAAAACTATCAGATGACCTCCTGTGAAAAGCTGGGTGTGCCTGTCAGGAAAGACATCCTTCCAGAAGTGCGGTTAAAATTCAAACTGAAGGGAACAAAGCCAGCTGGGAAAGAGGGATTTATTTTGGCCTAGGTTTTCTGCAAAGCGCACATGTCTTCAGTGAATAAAGGGGGACACTATCTCGGGATTCAACAGTCATGCTGTTACTGGCAAACGCCATTTCCAAGCTTTCCGTGTTTTGTGGGAAGAAATGAGCTACGGGGAATACGAGAATTAATGAATTGTGTGCTAGAACATATGCTTCTCGTTAGTGAGATCCTCATGCCGCGGATGAGGGCGACTCCCCCGCCTGAGGAGCCAGCACACATTATGAGATTCCTTTGCTCCCCGTTAGGGAACGGGTGCCACGAAGCTTCGCTGGTGATCCCGGCCAGCAGAGCACACACACCTCTGGGAAGTCTCTTCTGTGCAGTAAGGGCTACATGAGCACAGTACCTGCGACCGGTCTGCCAGGAGTGGGGGTCCCTTTCATGCGGGGGAAGGGAGGGGGCGCCTCAGGCACTGCTCAGACAGAACCGGGAGGGCCCTGGGTTGCTCCTGCTGTGTGGACAGACGAAATCTCCAGCTGCTCGTTCTCCTCCCCTCTGCCCACCTGCCTCCTGGACGGGGCAGCCTCCGCACACTCCCTGGTCAGTACACCTGTGTGACGGGCTGTCCCCGCGAAGCTGGTCTCCTCTGTGGTCCAGATATGGAGAAGCCCCTCATG